CTGAAATCTAATATATTTTTATTGGATCACTCAAAACACAGTCAGACAATCAGAATAGAGGCTCAGAGCCTCCTCTCTTCTGATTGGCTCACTGACCTGTTGTTACTAGAGCTCAAGAGAGAAGCCTGAGAGAGGAGATGTAAAACTACACTGAGATGGTTTTTGGTTCTTAAAACCACAAATATATCTTCTTATAGATCAACACTTCAAATAAAACAGAGAAGAAGAGGAAAATATGGAGCTTTTAATGACTGAACTGAGGTTGTACAAGACTGAAACAAGAGGGAAACAGCTTTGCACTCTCCAACACCTTTAAAGCTCAACAATTTGTGGTTTTATGTGGAGTTGTACGCTGTGTGTTTTAGAAGTTCTGGGCTCATGAATGAAGTAGCTATATTAGCCAGTGTGGGTTTACAGACTGCAACGTTGATCCTAAAACAACAATACTAGCCAATAATGAAATGGTGCCTGGGCATTAAATCCACCTTAATTTGCCTCAGCTGCTCCTTTCACCTCTTCTCATGCAAACTAACAGGAAACAATGGCAAAATAAAAAAATTAATGATCACTCAGTGTTAAAAACACAAAGAGGATTATCACCACGCTACTTCGTGTGCTTATTAGATACAGACACATTCAGTCTTTGTTCTAAAATGTGATGGTGTACTGTCTGTTTTTCATGAAGAGGTTTAACAGCCATAAATTACTCTGTGGTCCAGAGGCAGATAGAATTTATTTCAAGGTCATGCTTCTTAATTTGAAGGCTCTGCCATTTATACCTCTAAGCCTCTGGCTCGGAGCGAGGACCTCTGCTGTGACGTGCTTCTTTCTGGATGTTTTGTCTGCTTTTTACACATTTGCTTTGTAAACCCATCATTAAAAACTTTGCACTTTAAAAGTGTGCACCTCCTAAACAGAGTGACTTCATCGCTTTGACTCTAATAAATTCAATTATTTTTTTAAACATTGGACCTGGAGGAAAGTTGTGCAATGATTCATGTCATGCAAATTTGAATTGAATAACAAAAGAGAGGATTATGGGAGCATTTAAAGGTCCCATATTTTCCTCTTCCTCTTTTTATTTGAAGTGTTGATCTATAAGAAGATATATTTGTGGTTTTAAGAACCAAAAACCATCTCAGTGTAGTTTTACATCTCCTCTCTCAGGCTTCTCTCTGGAGCTCTAGTAACAACAGGTCAGTGAGCCAATCAGAAGAGAGGAGGCTGAGCCTCTCTTTTGATTGGCTGACTGTTTTTGGAGTGATTGAATAAAAATTATAGCAGATATCAGGTAAACACTCAGAGAAACCAAATCCTGCAAGGTTGGATGGTGGGTCCAGGTGACTTACAGAAGTCCTGACGGCTGGTTTTAAGTCTCAGTGTCTGAATACAGGCTGTGTGCATTTCTCTGTGGACTGAGCAGTTTGATACTTTCACAGTATTAATACAGAACCTAGACCTGATCTATAATCACCCAACACATGGATATCTACTTTTATATGATATGACCTTTAAATTCTGTTTAAGGCACAAGTCTGAGAGTGGAAAGTGGATTTTCTTTAAAGAATTAGTGACAAAATCTGGATTCAAATAAATACACTTAAACTCCAGTCCAGTACACAACTTTGTCAATCTTAACTTCTGACTTTGACATAATTCTCCACAGAGAGATTTTAAAGCTCTCTAGGATGTTGCATTTGGGGTTCAGGGAATATCAAGAGCTAGGTAATCTTGATTGGGGATGACAGTCCCCTTACACTGTCAACATGCTATTTTTACCCAGCTCATTGCACATTATTGCCCTGAGGCAACCCAGTCCTGTTTCATCTCTTAACCCCCCTCGAAACAAAAAAAAAGAAAAGAAAAGAAATTCTCATTATTAAAACATGCATTTAGCGTTATCTGGCTCCGTCCCAGGCCCGAAAGCACACCAACGTGGAGACAGCTGATACATGTTTGTGTCTCTGCTTTGGTCTTTTATCCATTTGATGTTTCTAGAGCTTATCTCCAAAGTGCACAGGTCTGAAAATGTCAGTCTCTGTGTAATAACGTTGATGGGGGAAACCAGAAATTTTTAAAATGCCATGATGCCAGGTGCCTGATCAACATTGGATGAGATTTTCAGACTCTTTACTTCCCTGCATGCTCTGTCATGTTTGTGTTTTTATGCTTCCAATACTGACATTTGAGCTTCAGTATGAAAGGGTTAATGTACAAAATGTCTGATGTAACTTTTTGAAATCAAACAGGTGGAGTGTAAAAAACAAAACTGTGGCTTCAGTCTGTAGAAAATATTAACGCAATATTATTTGGATATTGTTTCATACTGTAGATTTTTAGGAGTAATTTGCCTTTCTTTAATCTTTTATCCCAATTTTTTTTTTCTTTTTTCTTTTACAGACTGCATTAATCTAATGAATCTCTTTCAGCCATTTAATGATGTCAGTAAACTTTATTAGAAAAGGTTGTAGTGGTTTTATGCAGCCTGACAGAAATACCTTCAGACGCTGCTCAGGGCACAAAGCCCAACTTGTATTTTTCAGGTAATGTTCATGTTTACGGTTAATATTCGCACTTGAGATACGACTACACCAGTATCCTTCATAAAGCATCAGAGAAAGAAAACAAGATGATTTTAGGGTCTGTACATTAATAATACAGATGTTACATGATATTTCTTTGTCTTTTTCTTTTCATTATTTACTTCACCCTGAGCTTTTAGTTTCCTCTTACAAAGAAAACCACTGCAGCTTTAACCATGTCACTGACCACTCACCTGCAGTGGAAAGTAAATAAGTATCTTAATGTATCCAATTGCTATATTTAAACAGTATTTTGAGCTACTTCGAGTATTTCCATTTAATACTTCCTTATACTTCCCCACTACATTTCAACATGTCATCAGATGAAGACGTTACATAAAGAAAATGTGTTGTATAGTTGTTCCCGACCTTTTTGTCCTGCGACCTTCAATGACCTTGTCATGTTTCAGTTCCCCCTCTGAGCTTTTCACATGGTTTTGTTTTAATAACTGATTAAAAGATGTGATATTTAAAAGGAATAAAGCCAAGATTCAGTCAGAAGTCCAAAATATTGACACAGGTTTGCGTATATGTCGTGGTCTGCCCTGAAGGGTCTATTTCTTTGGACCATTTTGACTCTTTATGTTTGTACTTTTGTTGATTTCTTGTTTTACTTTGAAATCCCCTTGTCTGTCTCATGGTTGATTTACTTCCTCTCTTTGTCCTTTGACTCCTGTTGCACCTGTTTTATTTCTCCCATGATTCCTTGTGTTTCTGTTAGTTACCCGTTTTATGTCCCTGAGTTCTTGCCTTAGTGTTTGGTCCTTGGTTTTAAACAAACGTACCAGCTCTGCTCAGTTGTCTGCATGGGTCCATAAATTCTAAACTGTGACAATATAAAGACTTTGTTTATCTTGTGTCCTCTTCCATTAATCATCTCATGACCCCTCAGATTTATCTGGTGACCCTTCGGAGGGGCCCGACCCCTAGGTTGGGAACCGCTGGTCTTAACTTCTAAACTGTATATAAAATAGCTGCTTTTATTCTGATACTTGAAGCACATTTTTCTGATTTTCATGCAGCACTTTCACTTGTGATGTGTTATTTTTACATTGTTGGTCACCACTTCTGCTCAGCGAACTCCACTTTCTCCACCGACGTCTCAAATTGGTCCGACTGTCACTGGAGAAGGCATCTAATGACCCGTGGAGACAACCCGCCTGGAGAACAGGGTCAGATCTGTCCATGTAACTCGGTGAAAAATGTTTTGGTGCGAGCGGGACGAGCGATTAAGTGGCTGACACGTCTGTACGTGCTCCCACTGCTGATCGTCCAACTCCTCCACACCGCCGACAGAAAGCCTGACCTGAAGATGGAGTAATCTCCCAAACCTGTCCTGACTTTTTTTCTTTTTATGTTATATGAGTTCTGGTTCCTGCTGCATGAAGTACTCCAGCCTGTTAATATTATTATACAACAGGCACCAGAACTAAATTAATTTTTACAGTGCTTATCATGAAATGAACCGAAGCTCAATCTTTAGCTTTGAATGTTTCATCCACAGGCTGTAAAAATCCTGCAGCCTCACCTGTTCCCCCGCAGACGGCAGCTGATGTTAAAATGTCCAAAAAAGTCTGACATCTCTCCTTTCAACTTTAAATTGCCTCATTTGCAGTATTTCATTTCCCTGGTGGCCTATTTGATGGATTTCATTCTTTCATCTTCAGAAATAATAAATGTGAAATGACAAATGTGAAATTTGTTACAGATTATTCCATTTCTGTGCCGTGAACGTGTTCTCTGATGCAGCCGGGGCCAGCATGGAAAAATGTAATTTTACTCATCATTTATGTGGCAGCCTTCATGCCCACCCCCGGTATTTGGGTTGCATTATGCAGAAATGTGCAGAAATGATATTTTTTAAATAGAAAATAAACATCCTCATGCTGTTTCGCTCCAGCCTGAGTCTACTTTTATTAAATTAAAGGAGGAGATGGTGATTGAAATTTAAAAAATACACCTTTTGATAGTGTCACAGCTTGGTGTAAAATTGTCAGTGATGTGAAGAAGTGGCTGACCTCCCCGTGCTTTTTCCAAACAGCCTGACACCAGGATAACATGAGTTTTTTTTTCAAGTGTAAAATGTTGGGTTGAACGCAGGTCACTCGTGAATAAATCGGGGGCTCTAAATGTAAAGAATAATAACAATGCTTAGGCAGAGGGTGGCAGACTGTCCTGACAGCAAACGTGTGAAAAATCACAGCTTGTACGTCTTCCTCTAATGATATCTCTCCCTATTAGTCTCAAAAGCAGAAAAAGGTCACAGTGGCAGGACGAGCAAAGCAGGAATTCACGTCCTGCATATTTAAAAAAAGAAAAAAATTACTTCACAACACCTGAGAGATGAAGAAAACACGAGAAACCTCAAATTTGTTAATAACGGCCCTCCTCTTCCTCTCTTGCTCCTCTCTTGTGCAGATAATGTTTATAGGAAGTGTCTCGCAAACGGGACGTGGGCGCTGAAGGGGAACTACTCCATGTGTAAGGCCATACTTCACGAGGAGGTAAGTGTGTGTGTGTGTGTGTGTAAATGTGTGAGTGAGTGTGTTTGATTCATGAGGCTGTTCAAGGAGGTCTTCAGTGCATGAAACAGCTCCACACGTTAATCAAAAAAACCAACAACAAAAGGCGAGGTTAGCAGAGAAAGATGAGTGCTGCACTTCTTACTTGAGGCTTATTTATAGTAAATATGGATTCAGGGTTTTGGGTTCTTGGAGCCTGCAGTGTCAACAGGACACCAAAAATACCATGAATGTACCAGGGAAGGCCCCGGAGCATCACCTGAAGGTATCGCCTTCAAAAAGCAACAGTGAATGGTTTTGACTTTGTATTCGGGAGAGTTGTTGTCGAGGCTTGGCTGCTTCTTCGACGTAGGTGGAAGCTTGAAATCTCACTGATCAACCTGCAGCTATTTCCCTTTCTCTGGTTTTGTGAATCCCTCAAAAAGGAAAACAGCAGCTGCAACCAAAACAGTGATTTTTTTTTTTTTAACAGCATTGTCCTGCAGCGACGTGAGCAAGGAAGAGAAAAGAAACGCTGTCGGTCTGGCGACGCGCCACTGTTATGGTCCTGCTGTGCTCCAGATTTTATTCATTCACATGTTGCTGCCTTTTTTTTTATTTTTCCCAGCCTCCACCTGGTTGTTGCATTGTGATGTGCAGATGTGATGGTGATGAGCGCTGGCTTTAATTAGGATAGAGCGGCGGACAAAGCTTTCAGAGGGAACACACTGACCCAGATCAGGCTGCAGTCGACTTTTGAAGTATATATGTAAAACATAAAATTGCACAGTGTGTTTGTGTTTGTGTTCCCTGGTCCCGACCATCTGCTGAAGCTGAATATTAAACAGCTGAGTTTCCATAAACACTGTAACCCTGTGCAGGTTCAATAAGTTCTGTCCATATGTTTTCATTGCCAACTGGATCCTTGTCATCAACAAATCCCATGAAAAGTCACAAATTTATTGTATAATTATTATTTTTTAAAAAGGCTCAGTAATTTCCTGAAACAGCTGGACACTGTAGTTTTTTTTAGAAAACAGGAGTAAACAGTGCATTAGTTGGGGACTATTTTCAGCAGTGGATTAATACACATTTGCTGCTCTAGTGAGTGTTTACAGCAACAGGATTGTGACTGAGTTTCACTTCATTCATTCATTCAGTCTGACATTGTATTGACTTTATTTCTGTTTGTGTCAGGAACACTTTACTTTATTTCCCAGCATATAAACATTTAATAAATGCTTTATAACACACTATGATGTAGCTGTAAGCAGATATAAGGACATTCATAAGTGTTTATTAATGATCAGTAACTATAACTTCTTCTGTGAGGATATAGTTCATATTATTACAGCTGTGTTTGACTGTGTTGTCTTAATGTTCTGTTTATACAGCAGCCTCCTCTTAAGGGTGTCAACAAGAGGAGTTAGGGTTGTTGACAAATCTATTCATACACTCCTATATCTATTACAATATTATGTGTTATAAACCAACTATAAAATGTTTATAGTGTATGCTTATAAATGCTAAATAAGTGGACTTAAAGTGTTGCCAAATTCCCTCTAACACTCATTATCTGACACGTATCTGTTTATTTAAATCTGTACACCAAACTACAGAAATGTCAAAAAGACTATTTGTGGTTTTCATGGACTTTCCCTCTGTTTCCAGTCTTTGTGCTAAGCTAAGCTAAGCTAACCACCTCCTGGCTCTGGCTGCAAACTAAATGCATAGACATAAGAGTTGTGACAATCTTCTCATCTACATGTAACCCTCAGCAAGAGAGAAAAGCAGCATTGTTTTCCTTTTCCTCTTTTTATCTCTGTAGTCGACCCTGTCTGCCAGAAATGACTGTTGCATACAACTAATTTACAACAGCCCATTAGATTTGAGGGAAACGTAACACAGACAAGAGGTTTTTTATTAACATGAAGAGGAAATGTTAATAATACATATATAATAATATGGTGATGGCAGATGTTCGGCCTTGTGTATCTTTTGTTTATCAGTTCATCTCGTTGTCTTTTCACCGTCCCTGAAGTGTAGCTGTTCTTTTTGTAGTTTTGTACAGTTATGGCCACACTCTCTCTCCACCTCCCTACACTCGTGTCTTAGTCTAATTCATCTGCCAAAAAAGAGACAAAACATACAATAAACACTTTAAGATGAATTGCACTGATACCATTTTTTAGATATTGCAATAATATCATCATGAATTCTGTGTCATAAAAATCTCATATCATGACAGCCCGATACTGAACATATCAGTAATATGTTCAATAACAACATATTTCATTAGTTTTCTGCCAAAATATCCAATGTTACAAGACAATATCTGCTTCTAAATGTAGCGCTTTATTAAATAAAAAAAACAATCATGAACATAATCTGTTGTGGACTCTGTGCGTGGCTGAGCTAATCTGATCCACAGGAAGTACAGAGGGAGAAGGATGTCAGTGAACATAGCATCTGAGTCACTGAAGAGTCTGAGGTGTAGGCGGAGATCCAGGTGTGGATAGAGACTGTAGGTGAACAATATGAGGGACTGAGTCGAAGTAAACTGCAGTGCATCACGGTGATCAAGGAACACGTCGCCCAGGGCAACAGTGAGGCTCATTGATGTGGTTTTAATTGTTTAAGGAAACAATGGAGCTCTAGGGCTCATAGGAGGAAGATGTATCAGGCTGTGGATAGTTTGTTTTTTCGAGGGATTTGTTTACAATAAGAAAAATATTAAATATCACCTTATCCTTAAAGGATTTCTTTGCATGCCTCCTCATCCGTCCCGTTACCAGCTGCTGTACAGTTGTAGTCATTTGTACTTCATAGATCTGTGAGCACGAGCAAAGTGCTGCGGACTGAAGCCCCCTTCATTTAGTGTTTTCTTTGAGACTCTGTGAGTCTGATGTCCGATCGATCCCTGCCGAAGATGGATATAGAGTGTCTGACCTTTTAGAAACGTGTGTTTGATTTTTTTTCCCCCTTTTGTAAGCGAAATAAATCACCAGGTGGCAGCGGGCGGCTGTGATTGACACCAGGGGAAAAAGGAGGGGGAGTTGAAGTAGCTTCTCTTTTAAAGTTCAGCCTGTATTGAACCAGATTCTCAGCTGGTCCCAGTGGGAGAAGAAGCTGAATGGATCAAACGCTTAAAGGAAAGTTTGTTTGAAAAAAAAAAAAAAAAAAAAAAATCTTCTTTTCTGTTTGGGACTCGCTGGAGGTTATTTTCTCAAATATATGATAAATGTCTTTGTTGTTTTTTATGGAAGGAGAGTGAGTCAGGTTTGGTTTTTACTCTGGTGGCCCACACATTTTGTGAGACCCGAGGCTAGTGGTGGGTGGGTCTTATATTATCCTCTTGTCGTCGGCCCCCCCCCCCCCCCCCCCCTCTCAGGCTCGATTCGCAGGCTCTGCTTTCCATTTTAAAACCTCATGTGTGCTTGATTTATGTCCTGATGTGTTGGCCACTCCCGCACGAGTCAGTGTCTATTACAGGGACTGATTCACACTTTTTTTCCCCTTTTTTCAGCTCTATATTAATTCTCACATGCCGTATGTACATTGAAATCATGAAAGGAATCATTTGTCTTGTCGTACTACCCTTGAGATGGTCCCTTTATAGCGTGACTCTGCTGTAAAAGATGGGGGAAAAAATCCACAGTCCTTGTTTGGTGAAAAAATGCTGCAGCAGTGATACGACCTGCTAGTTGCATTAGGTTTTTTTTTTTTTTTCAAGCAATAAACCTAAAGTATGCAACTGCCCGGACGAAAATACCCACATGGATTGTTTACCTCAGACTGCTGAGGACCCAGACTTTACAAAATATTTCTTTCTTTTATTCAGTGTGTTTGAAAGTGGGGCTGAAAATAACGATTGTTTTAATAAGCGATTAAAGCTGCTGTAGGCTGTCATTTTTTTTGGCGCCAATGGGCGAAAATTCCATAATCGTCTTTCAACATATTGTAATTCAAGTGGTCTGAGAGCAAACCAGACGTCTGCAGCTCCTCCTGGTTCTGTTTCCAGACTTAAAAAATCTAGACCATGACGGGAGACTTCGGCCAATCACAGGTGTTTTTCAGAGAGAGAGAGAGCGAGAGAAGAGCGTTCCTATTGGCTGTTCTACAAATGGAGATGCGTTTGCACGTCGATTCAAATGAACATGTGTCGATTTCGGTGAAGTGTTTCAGAGATGTGTTGTAGTGGTTGGTCGTGCAGGTAGATTTAACTATGAAAGACATATGAGGAATTTACCCTGGTGTTTCGGTTCATAACAAACATAGTAAGAGGAAAAAATATAAAGACAGATAAAGAAAAGCAAGTGCTGCAGGTCAGACAGCTTAAATATAAATAGTAAAAAAAAAATTAAAAAAATATGTAAATATAATACAAGTATTACAATGTACAATATGAGTGATTAGTGGCTATATCTAACACCTGGCTAAAGCTAATGCAGTTTAATACGACAGTCTTTCATGAAGGTTATAATGTAAGAGAAGTGGATTCAGCTGTGTGATCACTGAATGATTTAGGGCCAAAGCACATTTCTGGGCTCACATTGCTAAAAGATCAATTTTATCAGCGCAAAGAACAAACAACAAGAATAAATCTGGCATTGATTTTAATTGCAATCACTATCTGAACTGCAGTCAGCTGTTATCTGATTTCTGTGAAGCACCATGTTAACAACCAACAGCAGAATTTTGTTTCCATTTCAGACACTTCCCTGTTATTTCATTTCTATCTACATATCTATACGTTGTGAATACATTAGATTGTTGTTTATTTCACAAGATTTCACAAAAAATAGATAATTCTGTGTATTTGCAGAATAGCAAACCACTGAACAAACTGTGAGGATTTAAAAATAATCTATAATGTATAATATGGCAGATGTAGGATGGTCTATATCTCTGATTGGCTACTCCTCCTCTGGTCACACATGCTCTTTACAGTGACTTTTACACTTGTCGTATCACTCACACTTTGGTGCTTTAGTCACGTCTCACATTTACTTCCTTCACGTCTGATAAACACGGGCCCAGATCTGCTGCTCCGTTATGAACCATCTCGTCCTCTCAGATCTTCTGGGGCAGGTCTCCTCACTGTCCCCAGAGACCGAGCTCAACCAGGGAGAAGCAGTGTTCGGTTTTCATGCTCCACATATCTGGAACAAACTCCCAGAAAACTGGAGGTCTTATACAACTTCACTTCTTTTAAATCAGGGCTCAAGACTTTTCTGTTTTACTGCAGCGCGCTGTAACTGCTGCATGATTTTTATTCCAGTCTGTTTTATTCTATTTTAGCTTAATGTGTCGGGACTTTGAATTGAAAGGCGTTTTAGAAACAAACTTGCCTTGCTTTTGTATAATGTAACACAGTTCAACAACAAAGTGCAGCCTCAGAATGTTTCTCTCTGAAACAGTTTCAACACAAACTGAACATTATAACCTTCATGAAGAAGGATTTATTGCAAGACTGTTGTATTAGTTTTAGCCAGGTGTTCCTAATAAACTGCTAACTGAGTGTATATCACATCAGAAACGAGCAGTTGTGGCGCAGTCAGTTTCATCATCCACTGGTTCACATCAGGAGAAGTGGTGTGATGTGTCCAGTTTAACCTGTGAGACTCTAAATCTTCAGTTTGATGGTGAAGTCCGAGTCTGATCTGCTGCAGTGCTACCAGCCACAGCCACAGACGACGTCCCCTTCAGTGTGTGCAGTCACAAGAGGTGAAGATGTGTATCACAGGTGCACTGAAGGGAAGAGCGTTTACACCTTTTCTGAACGGCCACAAGGTGAAAAACCTGCTGTCATAACCTCCTCCACCTCTTCAACCTCTCCAAGAACGGAGGGTGTTTTTGTGCTTTGTAACAGAAGAAATCATATATAAATGGTCAAGTGTAGAGAATAAAAACACAGCTTGAGACAGAAGTTCAAACCCTGAACACCTGGCCAATTTCACAGTGGGTTCTTGGAAAGTTATAAAAACTGTCCTGACACATATCCTTCCTACTTTTACGTCAGGAAGTTGTGGGATGAAGAGATTTCACAGGTTGTTTTACCATCCAAAAAGCATGTTTGCAGCAAGCTAAAAGTTCATTTTATGTCTTTATGGAACATATGTCGTGTGAGTATTGTTATAAAATCAAGTGGCAACCTCCAGGGCTGAAAAATAAAGTGCTAAAAACTGTAGTTCCTCTAATGTACACTAGGGTCTGGCTCCAAAAGTGAGTCAATCCCCAGACTCCCATGTTAAAATGTCCAACTTTACAGCAGAAATAAACATGTTTACAGACTGGTACAAAAAACTGTTTTGGTCTCTAGAGCTAATTTCCTTCTTCATAACAACTGTTTGTATAACTCACCTGTTTACACTTTATTAAGGCTTAAAGTTATGTGTAATTGAGGGTGTGGCATTCACTGAAATCTTAGCTCCACACACGCCCCACCTCTTTGCCGATTTTTGGATAATCTGGGAGTTAAGGGCGGAGTCAGGCACTGCCAAGATGGCGACAGCAGTTCAGCCTGCTCTTCAGAAACCTATGGGTGATGTCACCGAGGCTACGTCCATCTTTATTTACAGTCTATGGTTAAAATAGACCTGAAAAAAATCCAAACCTATTCTTATTTATTGTACTGTTGGTCATTTGTTTACCTAAAAACAACCTACCATAATGGCCCCTACAGGACGACTGCTTTCTAAAATGTGTTTTACAGTAAGGCAACACTTTTACACTGGTGCTGTTGGGAACCTGAGATCCCATTCATTCAAGTAGAAGAAAGTCCACATCACTGAAGCCGTTTATCTGACAGTGAATGTGTTTTAGATGTTTGTTTTGAGCTCAACATCTGTGACAGCTGTTATTCATGGCTATTTTTCTCTCTGGATAATTTCTGCCAGAAAGACGTCAGAAGACATTGTGAAAACGTTTTCAGTCGTCATGAATTTATTTCCTCTTTGGCGGGCTTTCAGAAACACTCATAGGCCTGATTACCTCTGAGAGACTCACTATAAACACTGAGAACACTTGTTAGCTTAGTAATGTTAAGGCTACAAACAACCCACAATGCAACAAAAAAAATATAGTTAGACTTGTAATCTATCTTGTGTTGTTGTCTTATTCTTAAATATGAGAAAACGCAGACTTTTTTTTTACCTAATTTCCAGGAAAGAAAATATTGTGATATATCAGGGTCGATATAGTTTGATGACATTTTCCTGACAAGCGACCTCTTGTGGCCATGAGAGTAATACTGTCCAATCTTAGAAGCAAAAAACACAAAACCAAGACCACCATCTTTCTCTAACCCCTACCAAGTAGTTTTAGTTGTTTAAAATAAGACAAATATCTCGTTTTTAATGGTCATGTGAGTCTTTTTGGAAAGCCATGACTTATATAAAGTATGAGCACTTGTTTTCAGAAACCTCTATCCCTGTATCTATTATAGAATTGATGTGGATTCATTACTCAGACAGAGAAAAGAGTTGGTGTTGTTGGTATCCAGATAACAGACCATCTGTCCACTACAAACTTAGAAAGAGTTAAAGTTTGAGCTGCTGAATGAAAATATAATGAATGGTACAGATGACGTGTTTCAGGGTGGGCGGGGCGGGGATTAAACGTGCCCACATTTAATCTTGGCGTAGACACCAGTAGGTTACATAAATCCACTTAGAGCCCAGATTACTGTTGCTAGTGTGGGGGAAATCCGATCACAATGGATATCTGAGTCACAGACAGTGGTCTTAGAGGAAGATGTTCTGTGTTCTGTGTAAAACCAGAACGCCTCGTGTAGATGCTGCATGTGTGAGTGTGTGGATGTCTCGCAGTATTCATGTTTCAAAAACCAGAGGAGGGGCCAGAGGAATGGCATGGGGTGGCAGAGCCCCCCCTGGGATCTGATTGGCCCTGGTTGGTGCCCCCCTGCTGGAGTCAGAAGGTGATGATTACTGGCTGAGAACATTCTTGTTGGAAAGTCAATCAAACGACCTCAAAGACATGACAAATGACCAAACACACACTGGACTACCACAGAGGACCGATAACAACTATGACAGGATGCAAAATGACCACAAAGAGATGCAAAACAACTACAAAGATACACATAATAACTTTAAAAAGATGCAAATTGACTACAAAGAGATGCAAAATGAATGCAAAGATGCAAAACAACTACAAAGAAATGCATAATGACTATAAAAAGATCCAAAAATGACTATAAAAAGATGCAAAACAACTATAATGGGACAACAATTGACCACAAAGAGATGAAAAATGACCAAAGGAGATGGAGAACTGCCACCAAAAGATGCAAAGTAAATACAAAGAGATGCGGCCTCGTGGTTTTTGGACTGTCATGCTCATGTGTCGACCAACTGCGACACCTGACAGTATGTTGACAGACAGACAGACGGACAGACCACCTCTGTGGTAGTTCCTGCCACAGTAGGTCCAGGACGGCATTTTGCCATGATGACACACACAAAACGAGGAACCAGGTCTTCAGATGTGAGTCTGAACACTGCTGTTTGAACATTGTTCCTGTCCAGAACCACAGCAGGAGTCAGCTCTAAAAAAAAAACTGAAAAATGAAAGAGGATTTCAGTCTTTTAAGTCTCTTCTCTTGTCCAGAAAATACTGTTTCTGTAAATCACAAACACCCACAAAACTCATCCTGTGTTTCTTTTTTTTTTTCCCCTGCAGAAAAAAGGCAAGATGCACTACCAGATAGCTGTGATCATAAACTTCCTGGGTCACTGCATCTCCATGGTGGCTCTGCTCATAGCCTTCTTCTTATTCTTGTGTTTGAGGTAAGTGTTGGTCCCACTGCCGCCAGTCCACTGATAATCCCGAAGACATCCTTGATGTGACAGAAACGTCAGTATTCTCATGATCCCTCGTTCAAAGCGCCTCTCGTTCTTATTCAAAAACCATTTGGTCATGGGATGAAACCTTCCCTATCTCAATCCCGCAGATGTAAAAGGGTTTAGACGGCGGCAAAAACTAGGGCACGTTTCCCCCACAAATGGGAATAATAGACCCATCTCGGAAAGCGGCGGAAACCTAAACAGTCTTGCGGAGGCCTGCTGGGATGACTGGTGGAGCTGGAATGGGTTTCTCTGACAAACCGGAGTAAACCGCGCGTTAACGAGAGAAAGGTCTTAGCACCCTCAACAGCCGGGGCCGTTATCGATCCCAGAGACACCCCCGGGGAGTGAGAAAAGCGTGAAAGGCCACAGAGAGACATAATAAATAGAAGCTGTACAGGACAGCGTTTATGCACAACCCGTGTTTGTGGGCCACAAGCGGCTCGGACAGGGAGGCAGGCAGGGAGGACAAGTGTCGGCCAGCAGCTAAAAATGGCATCAGGGTAGTGAAGGAGTTTGGCATTTATTACTCAGCTTCTCCTCTTTGTAATGAGATTGAGAACCATTTAAGGGAAGGCTGCTGCTGCTGCTGCTGCAGCTGCCGGTGTGATGGAGAGAAAGGCTGACACTCCTGTTCAGCGTCGTGGAACTGGAAAGGAAAAAGAGACAAAGGGATCACAGAGGAGAGGAGGGAGAGCGGGACTTTGAAAAGTTCAGTCACAGAAGAGCATCTTTATCTCCGATGATCTGGCATATTCCTGAGTGAAATCCCACTGTAACTTCCACTATCAGGGTTTTCTATCCTCCACACAGAAGCACAGGTGTCCTCTGGGTAATTTAACAATATCACAGGTTCATGTTGTGGAAATCAGCTTTGAATATTTTACTTTGTGTTTGGTGAAATTGATTTATATGGAAATGAACAACATTTATATATTTATATTTCATTCACACATCAGTGTGCATGGTACCATGCAAGGCTCTCGGCCAATCATTAATTGCTCAAGGACTCTGTGACACGTGGGCAGGAGGAGTCAGGGATCAAACGGCCAACCCTGAACTTAGAGAGTCAGTTGTTTTGTACAAAATCAAGAAGCTAAAACTGAACGAAACAATTGGAACCAGTAAAGTGATGCATCGTTTCCTTTTGTCAGCTGTTTTCTGACACACAACCTGGTTCATTACCTGGTGCACACCTTCATTTGTTTTGTTTTTTACGGTTGCGATGCACGTTGTAAAAAACTGTTTTAATGTAACAGTGAGTGACACCTGAGGGGCAACAATAATCCCCAGTGGTAAACAACTCTGTGCTCTCACCTGGTTGTCGCTCACACTGCGTCAGGACATTGGCAATAAAAACTTTCTCCTGTAGGGGGCGCCCTTTAAATTTCCTGAATTCCACTGGGCTGCACCGCTAGGTCCAACCCTGTCTCCTAGAAATTACATTTCTATACGCTAAACCGCAACAGCAAAGAGGAAAATTACGTTTCTATAAATGTAATGAGGAAGTGTCCGTAAATACGCTAATACTGAACGCAGCAGTAACAGACGACAAACTTCTTCCTGCTAAAATGTCCAATCTTGCAGAACAACGTCCATGTGCAGTCGTGGAGGAATTCTTCGCTCTTTAGGTCTCAACTCTCAGGCTTACAAGAAATATAAGTAGGGTGGCTGTGACAACACTAACACAGTCACGCTATCCCATTCCCCAATGGCAGTTACCACAACAGCCAAGGTCGTAATGATGTCATGGACCGAGACTCCAGTCCAGTGAGGATCCAGGTACAGGATCAAGGACAGACTGTTCCCTTGAGATACAAATATATTATATATACACACAAAGGTGACTCGGGTGAATGTAAAGAATTGTTTAGGACCCAATGAGACCAAGCAGAATCTTCACACATGGTGAAAGGAGTTTAAATGCTGCTCATCTCTCTTCTCCTGGATGCATCGACCGCCTCTGCTTAATCCATCTGGGTCTCCCAAAACGTCGTGTTTCAGTGCACAAGATTTCCATCACTGTAGTGACTCCAGCCTCACTAAACTGGTGTATGGTTCTGTTCAGACCCTCGCAGCTCTCGGTTCAGGTTTAGCAAAAGAACCCGGTCTGGTTTAATACAGAAAAAGTTCATGTGACTTAAGACGCAACGTCTTTATTTACATTCAACCAAAACCAGCATCTTCTCTAACCTTAGAGCTAAAGCTGAAGAGCTTTTCTAAACCTCAGCCTGGACTCTGGGTGTGAACCTGGTCTCTGGTGCGACAGTTCTGCACTTTCCATCCACCTCAACCCCGTCCAATGACCAATGCCAAACCTGTTCATCCAGTCAGCAGTTACATTTTCTACAAAACATATTTTCTGTTGTATTTTAGTTCTATAGAAACATCATTTCTTGGAGGAAGGGTTGCTAGGGTCCATTCACACACAAATAGCAGACAGTGGACATACTGTATGTGAAACAGTAACACTGAATATGCATGAAAACAAATGGAGCCTTATCTGAAAGCTCGAGTTATCTGTTCTCTTTGCAGCTCCATCTGCTGTCGGGGTAAAACCTTGAGAGGAATTTGATCAAACTGGTGATTTAGCAAACACGAGGGGAAGTAAAGTAATTTTCCAGCTGTAGACGAGTGTTCACCTTCACCCACCCCTCCTTCACCCGTGCTGCTCGGTCAGGAAGAGGAAGAAATTAATAAATGAGGTCGCAGCCGCGCTCTCTGGGAAATGCAAACATGGGATTTTTGCCAACGGATATCCAAACACACACCTCTGACCTGTGATACCATCCAACTGCTACCTGGACACACGACGTGATGGGAGGGGCACGGTGCCTCTGAGTGAGACAAATATTTCACAGGGAGACAAGAAAGTGGATTCTTACGCCTTTATGCCTCTATTGTTTTCAGGTTGTCCGTCCGTCCGTCCCGTTCTTGTGGACATGATGTCTCAGTAACGCCTTGACATAACTTTGGCACAAACATTCACTTGGACTCGAGGATGAACTGATTAGATTTTGGTGGTCAAAGGTCAAAGGTCAAGGTCACAGTGAACTCACAAAACATGGTTATGGCCTTGTGAATGCAATACCTCCGTAACGCCTTGAAGGAACTTCTGCAAATTTGGTAAAAACATTCACCTGGGCTGGAAGACAAACTGATTAGATTTTGGAGGCTAAAGGTCAAAGGTCAAGGTCAGTGTGACCTCACAAAACACTTTTAAGCCATTACTCTAGACTTCACACAGCAATTGAATGAAAAATGTCACACAAAGGATTAATATTCTATATGACTCCGTATAAACAGGGATGTAATGAAACTAGTCCGAGTGGCGGAGGGATACAACCACAGGCAGATAATTCTAGTTATATATTATTTCTCAAAAATGCTTTTTTTCCTCTGACATATATGAAATAAAAAGTAACATAGCATTGAAAAAAGGTTGATTTTTAATGTCTGTTTGCTGCTTTTCATTTCAAAATGAAGTAAATTTACACTTTGACGCATATGTGAAATATAAAATGAAAGACAACAACATTATATAGCATAAATAGACAAAATGATATACGAAATAACTATATATAACTGTAAAATAAAGCAGATTAAGGTATGTTACTATTTACTTATTACTCCCTTAACAATAACCAGCACAGTGAATGCAGCAGGGAACTTCACTGTGGTTTCCACAAAGACCTGTCTGCAGCGGCGCTCTGATTTCCTCTTAATTACCACACATCAGGACACACAGTGCTGGACCCACCGGCAGGATGCCAAGGGAAGTGAGGTCACGCAGCGTAATGAATGCAACTGTTTGCAAAAAAAAAGAAAGAAAAGCCTCGTCTCCTCTCTGCTTCTGGCTCTGCAGCCTCTGTGACACTAATGAAAGCTCCACTAACATTGTGACAGAGTGTGGAGGAAATTAGCAGCTTGTTTGTGGGACAACAGGATTTATAAACCATACGTTTGTATGTTTTTGTCGCCTTGAGGCAGCGTCTTTTTTTTTCACATCTGTGTAATATTATAATTATTCCAAACTCTTTTTTTTAGCAGCGTTTCTATGCAGCTGTTGTTGTGTTAATGAGGCTGCTATTTTCTGCTTGATAAAAATGTAAAAGAGACACAATAATATAAGAAAATAATAATTTGGAAAATTTTTACTCATGCACGTTTGCTCAGTCAGCACAAAGCCAGTGCTAGTGACTCCCATTAAGAATTGATGCACGACTAAAAAATAAATCACGGCACTGATAACGCCGTCAGCTGGTGACAACAAACGAGGCTGTCACCGCGGCGGCCAAGGTTCGCCATGTCCGTTCAGTCGTGTGCTTCTATTTCTGAGCGCTCGCTTCGAGGCAGTTGGGATTTTAATTGTATCCTGAGGTCGATTTATTTACAGCATTAAAAAAAAAAAAAGGACATGACACAAACAAGAGAGCAAACTGTGGGAATGAAATGTTACTTCATATTATATTAGGAGGTGAGGACAGTGGGGAGTGATGGGAAATGTAACTTTGAGGCTGCAGCTCTTCATTATTCACCTTCATCGTCTTTATTTTCAGATTTTCCCACATTACTGTAAGGTTGAGCTCATAGTGCAGAAACGGTGAGTTTAATGTCTTTGTTTAAAACACAGCAGAACACTCAAACGCAGCAGGAGCAGATATATAATTCACTTCTTCCCAGCAGTTTGCTCATGGGTTTGCTTTTACATCATCTTTTCTTTTTCTTTTTTTTTCATCTTTCCTCTCAGTGTGAAATCATCTTCTTTCCCCAGAGAACAGCAGGAGAGATATTGAAAAGGATTTACCCCCCCTCTCCTCTCTTCTTCTTCCTCTTCTTCTTCTTCTTCTTCTTCTTCTTCTTCTTCTTCTTCTTCTTCTTCTTCTTTTCACAGGAGCATCCGCTGCCTGAGAAACATCATCCACTGGAACCTCATCACCGCCTTCATCCTGAGGAACGCCACCTGGTTCATCGTCCAGTTGACCATGAGCCCCGAGGTGCACGAGAGCAACGTGGTGGGTGTCGCGTTTATGCGATTTATCTTCAGCAAAGATGAAGATGATGATGTTCTGTATCTCTCCTTCTGTCGAGTCAAGTGTAGAGCGCCCGGTCACAGCGGTGGAGCAGCAACATGGGAGCAGTACATGGCCTGCAATCACGGAAAGAAAAACTACAACTAACGATTATTTCCATTACGAAATAATCTCCTGATCGCTTTCTGAATCAATCGATTAGTTTTTCTTAAATATAAAAATCAGAAAATGCGGGAAAATATTCACCACAGTTTCCCAGAGTCGAAGTTGACGTCTTCAAATGTCTGGTTCATCAACATATCAAAATATGACATTTCCAACAACATAAAACTTAGCAAAGCAGCAAATCCTCACAGTGAAGAAGGTGTTTGATCAACTAATCGATTCATTGATCGGTGGTTTCAGCTCCAATCTCCAATCTTATCCATCTTGAAAATATCAGGTATCAAGTCAAGCAGGTAGTTATCACTCTTTAATGAAATCATTTTTTTTATTTTTTTATGTGACTCACCATCTGCTCTCTTCTCAACCAGGAAACAGATTTCTAAGGTTTTGTTTTATAAAGCTGAAAAACTACCTCGGTGTCGTTAGTGTTTCTTCTTTGGTGGTAGAAAATGTGATGAGCAACATATTTCAGAGAAAGTTTTGAGAGTCAGGTGCTGCATTCATCAGCAACAGACGGGTGTCAGATTAAAGCAGGGAAGTGTAAGAGTGTATTTCAGTGAGATGTTGGTTTGACATGAGCAACAAGAACAGTTTCAGATTCTCTGGAAGGATGTTCCCTTGTATGTCCTCATATCTCTTAACTCATTTAGTGAGGTTTTTCCTGTAGTGGAAGAAGAATTCAGATCCTTTACTGAAGTGAAAGTATCAATACATCAACATAAATGTTCTCCATTACAAGAAAAAATCCTGCATTTAATTCCCACTCTTATATGACCGTATTACTGGGTTTATATTGATGCGTTAAAGTTTAAGTATCATTGTGTTGTCGTGTCTGGTAAATTTTTTGGATATTTTCTCTCATCTTCGTATTTTTGAAAGAATTTAGGAGAATAAAAGGCATACAACAAACAAAAACTTAACTTTTCTGCCTGAAATAAATAGATAAAGAGAAGCAGGAACAGTGTGCAGTGAAAAGGCATAAAAACAGTAAATAAACGGATAAAAAGGAGAAACATGACAAGGAACCTCAAGTTAACACTAATTAAGGGGTTGGAAACAACTGGTTTCATCTTGAACGATGTATTTTATAACCTCATCATTTCTTTTGTTTAGTTTTTAATGTAAAATCTTTATTTGTATATTGATGAATATTTACTACAGCTGCCAGATAAATGTAGAGGAGTAGAAGAAGTCTGTGTAGCTGGAAATCTAACCTCAAAGAACTTTTTCTGAGTAAACCTGATAAACATACCCAGATAATGTAACACAAAGCATTTGTAGCATGGTTTGAAAAAATGATGTTTAAAAAATGTTGTGTGTTATTGACGAGAAACTGAACAGAGATTTATTTTGTAGGTGTGGTGTCGCCTCGTCACCGCCTCCTTCAACTATTTCCACTCCACCAACTTCTTCTGGATGTTTGGCGAGGGCTGCTATCTCCACACCGCCATCGTCCTCACCTACTCCACCGACAAGCTGCGCAAGTGGATGTTCATCTGCATCGGCTGGTGTACGTACACTCACTGTTTCTCCTGCACAGTTCACTTCTCGACAGCTGGGTAATAACTGAAAAGAAATCATTGGCCTCCGGCCTTTATGCTAAGCTAAGCTAACTGCCTCCTGGCGCTAGCCCGGTAGTTACAACACAGACATGAAAATGTTATCCCGCTTCCTTATGAGGAACCATTTATAAAGGGTTTATATGCCGTAATTAATGGCTTTATTAATGGCTGTTTAATAATTTACTGATGCTTAATAAATCAGTTATAAACCATTAATGCTGTTGATAGACAGGCTACATGTTGATGGTAAGAGCAGTACTGTTTGAATAAAGACTCTTGCATCAGTGTGTCCTGTTTAAATCTAATGTTAACCTGGCTGTATGTTTATATTCAGTAATAATACAGTTATAAATGCCATTAATAAGCACTTTCTAATATGTCATCAGGTTTTCAGTTATCAGTATCCATATCACATGAATAAAGAGCAGTTATTAATATTAATAAATCATGGGTTTTACTCTCCATCATGTCTGCAGCTGTCAATGTTAATAAATGGTCCAGATCCCTGCAGCCCTCTCAAGGCTGGCTTACCACTTGGATAAAGTGGAAAACTGCCCAGGAGCCCCAGACCACTAGGGGCCCCAGAAGCCTATTCTGGTGGTTACGGTCCTGTAGATTTAATTGTATGATTGTGGTTTAGTGATTCAGCTCTTGACGAGGGGGTGCTATTAATCTCGGATGGTTTGTTGACAATGTGGTGTAGTGTTTTCCGTATGTGCCTGTCTGAGCTGCAGACCAGGCTGTTATAGATGAGGTGTGTTTTGCTGCTCTCTCTGTCTCTCTCTCTCTCTCTCTCTCTCTCTCTCTCTCTGGAGGAGAGTTTGTTTCACTTTGAATTTTTGGAGCTGTCTGAGGAGAAACGGTCTCTGCTGGCCTTTTTGTTGGTGATGTGGTCAGTGTTGATGTTCCGGGTGAGTGTTTTGCTGGTCTGGGTGCCAAGGAATTTAAATAAGTCAGAGATGGTTACGGGTTCCTCCTGCGATGTCTGTGGGGGGATTTGAGGGAGCCTGAGATGAGTAATGCGTTCTGGTGTTTTAGAAGTGTTGAGCAGGAGGTTGTTGTCATAGCACCGGGTGACAGCTGTGCTAATTATGGTTGTGTCACCTGCATAGCTAGGGTGAGAGGACACATCCCCCAACTCCCAACCCCCCACACCCCACCCCACACACACACACACACACACACACACACACACACAGAAACACAGCTGAGGGTCAGAGGGTTAGGGTTTGGCTGTTCATCTTTAATTCTCTGTTGTCTTCACAGGAAGCTGAACCCCCAGTAGCATATGAAGGAGTCAGTGTGTGTGTCGGGTCACTCTAGGTGTTGTAGAGTGTGTGTGTGTGTGTGTGTGTGTGTGTGTGTGTGTGTGTGTGTGTGTGTGTGTGTGTGTGTGTGTGTGTGTGTGTGCGTCCTGCATTTCCTGTTGTTTGTAAGCAAACAGGTACTTACCATCATAAGGGTGGTGTAGGATTTCAGGTAGCAGAGGATGATGCATTCAAACCCAAAAATATTGAGTTTATTGTCATGGAGAAATTAAAAAAAAAATAGCAAATATTCGCATTTGAGAAGCTGGTACCAGTTTCTTTTTGGTATTTTTCCAAAAAATGAATTAAACAATTAGAAGTTAATCTGACCATGAGCCCTTTTCCAGAACATCAGTAGTCAAACAGTCCATTGGAGACGTCTCGCTAATGAAGTAAAGACCTAGAAAGCTGATCAAAGTGTTGCGCTGATTGAGGATTATCCACAATGATTTATTAACCTATAACAAAGCCATTAATTACAGCTTATAAATGGTTTATAAACTGCACCTCGGCAGGAAGTGGTGCCCCCTGTTTCTTATCAAACTCGTTTCATCTGAACAGAACAAACTGAAGGTCAGATACAATTTTAGCCGACAATGGGAGCGTAGGACTTGATGTAGATTCCAGGATTTCGCGTGGCAGCTGGGAAACGTATTGGTGTGGAGTTCACTAACACCCGGTTTCACACTGTCAAACTGAACTATGTGCTGTTGAGATTAGGTGTATTGTGCCAGCTGGATTACATTTCCCCCGGGGCAGTGTGAAGCCTCTGTGTGAAGAGGAGATGGCAGCACACTTCAGGATGGTTGTGAAAAAATAAATACAATCACATTTTATTTGCTTCGCTTCGCTTCGACTCTGCGGCTCTGAGAGATGAAATATCATTAAGGCAGTGAGGAGGCGCAGAAAAAAGTCTTGAAAACAACAAGGAAAATGACATTTTTCACATAATCTCTGGCTGCGAGTAGATTTCCTGAGGTTTAACAAGGCGCTGATGACGGTGCGTCACTAATGAAGTGGAAAGTTTCCAGAGACCTGCATGTGTGTGTGTGTGTGTTGGCGCGACTGGCGAGGTCCTCACGCTCCCATTGGTGTCACTTAGATGCGAGTAAGTCACTAAATCAGAAAATCGCTTTGCATTATCATCAAGCAGAGTCCGGCTTTTCATTCATTCACAAAGAAATACTCAGACGGTGACAAGTCCTTGCTTACGCCTGTGGATCACAGCACATGAGCAACAATTGTTTCTGACAGAGCTTGGCAGGCTGCTGGTGCTACGCCAGACAACGATTTCATATTGCAGCGTGAAATCTCTGGAGTGATATTTTGTGATTTGAATAGCAGAGAAAGATGAAAGAAGAATCTGTCACTTTGTGTTTTTATTTTTTCACAGGTATTCCATTCCCTATAATTGTGGCATGGGCCATTGGGAAGCTCTACTACGACAATGAGAAGTAAGACTCTTCTTAGATATAGGTTTCTTCACCTCGGTAATTAAAGCACAAGGGCAAAGTCAAACTGCATTGCATTAAGGAGATGAATGTCTAATAATAACCTGCTGTAATTACATTTGCATTGTACCACATCCTTGAATACACATTACCTCTGCGACAGTTTCCACTCTTGACTTGATTGATATAAGTGGTCTCTCGCTCTCTCTTTCTCTCTTGTGCCTGTTGGGTGAAAATTGATTCGGCGTTTTAAAAAATGTGCACTGGAAAAAAAAATCTCCCTTTTTATCAAATCAATTTGTTTGTAATTTAAGTCATTAATGGATGCAGCTGGTGGTGTCTCTCTAATTGTCAGAAAATCCAATAGAAAAAACAATAAAACCAACAGTGAATTGATCCAACCAACAAGGATTGTTTGTCCAAAGGCTGATGTATATTATCCCTCTGTACAACAGAGCTCCACTGTTTCCAAAAACTATTAAAACACATCAATCAGCCACACTATAGCACTGGTGACATGTTCTCTCATTACAATGAGCACACACTGTAGTTTATTTTGACTCAGTCTAATACACACTGCTGTAAGGCCCCAAGAAAAGCAGCTAAAAATATAGCAAGCCAAACAAATGTATGCAAACTTAAAAGAGTATTAAGAGTATTTTCTTTTTACCACAGTGGGTCAATTCAGCAAGCTGCAATGACCCAGTAGCAACATTCAAGGACCGGGTTACGCTTGAAAAGAACTAGTTCAAGTGTTTTTACTTGATCTAAGGAAGGTGGAAGAGCTGAGTGTCATAGAGACGGTGATATTGTTGACATATTGGAAAATTTTTAGATTGTTTTAGAAAATTTCATAGAGTTGCACTCAGTTATTTATACAAAAAAATGACAGAAAAAGTTGTGGAATAAATGAAAAAAAAAACACTCCTTTTTTGGCCTCATGTGGGGGTTTTCCAAAGCTCTGCGACCATCTGACAAGCATTTCTGGTTAGCTGTACTGGTGCCTTAAGCCCAGGGTTCCCTCTCTTTTAGCTCTGTGTTTGGTCTCCACCAGCTCCTGGGGAAATATCTGCCTCTTTAGCTGCTAAATGCGCCACTATGTTCACCAGCTGCTCTCTGAGTGTCTGCTGTTTGCTGCTGAAAAGGAAGTGGGCAGGGATTTTTTAGAGCTGAATCAAAACAATTATCTGAAAGACTCTGTAGAGTTGAGGGGGAACTGCATAATGATACAAGCCTCATCTTTCACTTTACATGTCACGATTTTAGTCCTTATGAACATACATATGTTCATGAATCGCCTATGAACCCTATGAATCATTATAAAGGTAGATGTACATGTGTAGTGTGATTATAGATCATGTCTAGGTTCTATATTAATACTGTGAAAGTATCAAAACGCTCAGTCCACAGAGAAATGCACACAGCCTGTATTCACAAACTGAGTCTTAAAACCAGCCGTGAGGACATATGGAACTTTGTGATGTCACAACAAAGCAGTCACCACTCTCAGCCACGCCCCAAGCCCCACCCACCTGGACCCACCATCCAACCATGCAGGATTTAGTTTCTAATCTGAGCCTCCTCTCTTCTGATTGGCTCACCGACCTGTTGTTAATAGAGCTCCAGAGAGAAGCCTGAGAGAGGAGAAGTAAAACTACATAATGATGGTTTTTTGGTTCTTAAAACCACAAATAGATCTTCTTATGGATCGACACTTCAAATTAAACACAGGAGAAGAGGAAAATATAGACATTTAAATAAACCTAATCTGTATGGATGGTTTCTGTGCACTATACTGTAGTTGTTTGTACAGAAAGAGCAGGAATTTTTGGCAGTGTAACTATTAAACCGCAGCTGAAAATGACTTGTTTTTTTAAATATTTAAATCTGCTGTACAGTTTTATAGACAGGGTAGAAAAGTCAGAAAGTTTTGAGAGACAGGTTTTGGTCTTTTTGTGTGATTTGCTGACAATTTGAAGAATATAAAACACCATGCGTCTCCTTTCAAGTCTTACTTACTTAAAAAGTGAATAAATCTACCACTGCACTGCTCTAATAAGCCAACTGTACTATTCTTATATTATTTTATTATTATTAGTGGCTGTTCCTAAAAACATCTCCCGACTTGGTCATTTGAAAAATATGCACAATAGCAGCACTGTCAGTGTGATTTTATGTTTCCTATTCAAATTTCAATTTGAGCTTAATATTTCAACAAGCACAATCTGAAATCCAGCTTCATTTGTTTATTGCAGAAATTTAACTTCTTCTTGTTTCCAGAAAGAGAGGCTCTTTTCTAGAAAATCACTTGAACTGGTCTCATTACACTGACAGATATGTTCACATTTTAAGAAAATAAGGTGTTTAGGACAGACACTTAATGATAAAGCGACTTCTGGACAGTGTGGTGTCTTTAAAGGGTTAAACGTTGCTGTGGAAGAGTTTCTCACCTCTGGCCAAAATGATCCTGAAACGCTCTATAATTTAGATTTTGGGTAAATCACTGACTGGAAGACGTGTGCTGACATCCCCGAGCAACAAATTAGGAACTGAATGCCAACACATCATGAAGTTGGAGGGAATTTCTTCGTGAAAAATGATGAGTGACAGCATAAACACATTTGCCTGTTAGAACTAAACATGACTGATGGCTCTTGTTGATGTTTCAGGTGCTGGTTTGGGAAGCGAGCCGGCGTATACACAGACTACATCTACCAAGGTCCCATGATTCTTGTGTTAGTGGTAAGAGTCTTTTTTTTTTTTTTTTCCCCTTCTTTTCAGCAGTGTTGAGCACAGAAGCTGCTCACACAATTAGTCTTCATTATGTCTTTAAAACGGCTGGCAGGCGTGAAGTGTTGGAAACCTCGACACATTCTTCATGTAAGCAGTGGCAGATGTGAGGATCTAACAATTCAGCTACCGAGTGTAACTTTAAAATCCCCGCAGCTTGGCAACCTGAAAGAAATACAAGGATCGTTTTAGATTCTGAGCTGAAAAACGAGAGCAAAAAAAAAAAAAAATCCAAGGATGTGTTCGTTCTTGTTTGTACCTGATCAGGAATGATCTCTAACACTGGGTCATTTCCATACCCTGAGGGGATCATTTTTCATGCCTCTGCATCATCGTAAATTTGTGTGTTGTCACTATCACACTGAAAAGCTCAGGAGCTTTCCTTTAAATTACAGCTAAGTCAAACTGGACATCAGCCATCTGCAGGACCTCTCCTTCAGCATTCAGACCACAGCTGTGTTATCCTGACTCCTCCTCGCCCTGCTAACAATCTTTTCGATGCTCGACACTCAGCCCTTCTAGCAGGACTCCTGCAGATTTTGCAATTTGCCCTGGGGGGGGGGGGGACTCAGCCCGGCTCCTTGTACAAGCTTTCGTAATCTCTCTACAGTCGCTCCCTCCTGGCTGCTCACTGCTCTTCAGTCCTTACCTACATGCATGCCCTCAAGCTCTGACCACTGCCTCTGTTAGAAGTCGATTTGGCTCTTCCCTCTGCTCGTCTTCCACTGCCTCCTCCCCCAGCTGGGTCCCCAGTGGTAGAATGACCTTCCCATCCTCATCAGAAACAGCACATTCCCTCATCTTTCTACCCTCAGTTGAAAAAGTCATCTCTTCAAGGGGCACTTTGTGTTTCTGTCGCTCCCGCCGCACTCTCCCCCCACAGCACACATCTGCCTCCTTTAATATCTCCCTGATACTTTGGCTGAAAATTCTCCGGTCTTGCTTTACAATAGCGTGTCCTCTCAGGCTTTTATCTCTTTGCTCAGCACTTGATCCTGCAGGATCATCGGCGGGTCACCGGCATATTTGTGGTATCTCCTGTCAGGGGTGCTGTGGTTGCAAACTCTCAGTGCCTTTTAATATCAACTATGAAGTGATGCACTGCGCTGACGAATAAATACAGGATGTTATTAAAAATGTTATCATAAGCACTAATGCATGGGGTTAGTGAGGACCAGCAGGATGGATGGTTCTTGAAAGTTTGCCATACATCTGTTCAGGCCAAGGTCAGGTCATCTGGCCCTGGAAAGTATTCCTCCTGCTATTTCTGTTCCCATGCTGCAGCATTCACACCTATTGCATGAGCTGTGGAGTTTGTCATTTATCATATTGTGGAAAAATAATCTCAAGTAGCACTTCAGATAGTCAAAACAATTAGAATCATTACAGGATAATACAGGCATTGTTTTATAGTTTTCTGATAGTCAACAAAACCCCCCCCCTCCCCCACCAGAATCATCCATCCATCTATTAGCCAGATATAGCTCCGTCCTTAGAGCTCGATTGTCGTCCAAAAACTATTAACACAGCGTGACCTGTTCCGTCATTACACACACACTGTAGTTTACTCAGAGTCAAACACACACACACACACACACACACATACACACACAAACATAAAGTGTAGTCAAGGTTGTGGTTGTCTGCCAGAGGCTTAAAATGGACTTTTGTCCCGTTTTAAGTCACATTTTTCAACTATATATTTTTAAATTAAATTAAATTTAAAAAGTTAAAAAAAACCACCTGATCCACTGACACTGAAGGAATCCAAACCAGGAAAAGCTGACGGCCATGGTAGTGCAGACAACAACTCCCATGATCCCACGCTACTTCATGATGTCACCTAACACCGTCTTTTGTTATTGTTTTGATTGAGAGACCCCTCGAGGCAGAAGTTATAGACTATGTGTTTAAGTAAAAGTACCTCATCACAGTAGTTTCCACCACTGACAGAGCATCAAATGTGTATTAATCCGCAGCTGAAAATAGTCCTCAACAAACGCACATTTGCCTGTTTGAGTAACATTAGCTAAAAACTAAATTGTCCAGCTGTTTTAGGTTTTATTACCATATATTTCTATTATATGTTTGTCAGCTCCACTGAGAAGGTAGAGAGGTCAGAAAGTTTGTTAAGTTGGTACGATTACTTTACTTTATTAATCCCAATGGGGAATTGCATTGTCAAGTCAGACTGAAGTGGCGACGCAAGAGACAAATACAGTAAAAGTCACAACTAATAATCAATCAATTAGAATAATATCAAGTCTGAGATTGGAAACTGAACTAAAAACGAGGGCTGCATTTTAAATGGAACAAATATTTAATGCACACTCTGCAGTGAGAGTGCTACAGTGAAACGCCGCACATTAATGCAATTAGGTAACGTGTTCTGTACTAACAGGGTTGACTTTGCATTGATTAAAATAGAATTAACTGTGCATTAAATATGCATATTACAGAGATGCATGTTATATATAGATATGTAATAACACTTTATGTGATTTCATATAGTTTTACAGAGATAAAAAATTGGATGTTATTTCTTCTTTATAGACATATGCTTATCTACAGGGTCTGTGCATGTGCAGACAGTATTGAACAAACAGATTAATTATATAATAAATATAATAAAGTGAGCAGTCTGCAACACTTAAATGAGAAACCACATCATTGTTGGTTTTGTTTTATTGTGTTTACAATGACAGAAATATAGAGTAAGTGCAGCCTGAAGCACAACTGAGACAATCAATGTTAACAAGTTGAATATCTGATAGATTTTCTCATGAACTTTTCTAATGACTGTAAATAATTTTATAGGGTCTGACTGTGAGGTTATGAGAGAACAAAAGCTACATGATTCATGAAAGTAATGCTTGGAAAATGTGAAATATCCCAATTAGGAAACCTAGCTTCAGTGCATTGTTAGCCATTAGCATGTAGCATTGCTGGCTAGAGCCCTTGATCTTAAAAAAGTGTGCACTCTTACTCTTACATATCTGCCTTATATCTCTAATTCATACATGCTAATGTTAGCAGCTTCTGTGTGTTATGTTGTTTCATTTGCAGGCAAATGTAACCTCTGGCTCAACATATTCCTGGGACCTCGGCCCGAGTTTGGCCCATATGCTTCCACATCTGGGCTAACTCTGGCTATTATCCTCCAGTGGTGGTCGGCAGCCAGGAAGATTTACTGTGTGTTGGCACCAGAATTGGTCCAGAAGTGGAAGCATCTGACAGTCAATGCTGTATGTGGGCCAGATGTGGGCCGAGAAACTGGGCTTATATTGAGCCAGAAGAAACACAATATGTGACCCAATTATTTACCAGAATAGTCTTTCTACCTCGGTGTGTTACTTTTTCAGTAATAATGTTGCTAACAGCATATGTTAACATTATGTTATCATGCTAAAATAACCTGTGAAGGGAGGGTTGCTTGTGCTTGGTTACCATTATGCTACTAGCTGCCTTTTCTCTGGAACTCCATGTGTTAACCAGTTAGAGAAGAAGAAGAAGTCTATCAACATGTGTCATGTGGGTAAAAGCTGTGGAAATACAAAGAGTGCCACAAATTTTCCTTGGTTCCCACTAATTGCTTTATTTCTACTGAAAATCCATAAGCCATCATGGAGTTGTGGCAATAAATTTTCTGCCCCTTGTAAATGAGAAACGCATCTATAGATGGAGTTTATTGATGTTTGAGACTCGTAGGTTTTGCATATTTTGATGCCTCTGCTTTGTTTTTTCTTTCCCTCTTATAGTTTCTTATATGCATCCTCATTATTTTTAATTCCCTGATATATTTTTATATTGATTTATCCTCACTTCACATTGGGAACTCCTACACACCTGCAGGCAAACAAGACATATAGTCTCACATTTCTGTTTTTTAATTTTCCGGCAGATCAATTTCATTTTCCTCTTCAACATCGTGAGGATCCTGATGACCAAACTTCGAGCCTCCACCACGTCGGAGACGATCCAGTACAGGTAGGTTTAATGTAACCGGCTTATAGTCAGGAGATGAAACTTTTCCAGATACTCCAGTGTGTACACACCTTTAATAACATATTTCATACTTGATTGGTGGAACATGGTGAGGGCTTTTCCTTACAGTCCTGACTAAATCACAGCAGTGCCTGTAGGTGTTCGTCTTCCTGTCATGGCTGTCTGATCACTGCTCCTCTCTTGTGTAGGAAAGCAGTGAAGGCTACACTGGTCCTCCTCCCTCTCCTTGGAATCACCTATATGCTGTTCTTCGTCAACCCGGGGGAAGATGAGATCTCTCAAATCGTCTTCATATACTTCAACTCATTTTTGGAATCCTTCCAGGTACAATTTATCTCCCAAAACCAGAGATAAACAGAATATTATGCTGAAGTATAATGTGTCTGTGTGTGGGTGTGAGACTCTGAGTGGACATCAAAATAAGTGTGCTCCTCTCCGGAGATGATTGAATGAGGGTAACGTGTGTGATAAGCTGCTGTGTGTGCGATTAAACCAGGATCAGAGCGTTGATGTTTTGAATGCCCTCCTTTCTGATCATGTTTTGTTCCTCTCTTTATCTCCCTCCTCCTCTCACACAGGGCTTCTTTGTGTCAGTATTTTACTGCTTCCTAAACAGTGAGGTAAGCAGATTCACATCCACGTATTGATCCAACATTTTATCCTCTCTCTGCTTCAGACTCTTATTTATACCTCCCCTCCTCGGGCGTCTCTACTCTCCCTTTTGGTGGCTGTGTGTGTGTGTGTGTGTGTGTGTGTGTGTGTGTGTGTGTGTGTGTGTGTGTTATTGCAGGAAGCTGAGTGATAAACCTCGGAGCACTTATATTTAGGGCACAATTAAGACTTGTCATGTACCGACATAAGTGACATCACGGTTGACGCTTTATGACAGTGTCAGCCCTAATTTGGTTTCATGGAGAAATCAGGGGTGAAACCCACTAAGAATAGCACAGAGACATGAATATGCATACGAGCAGAAACACTACTTCATCTTTAATGTGTGAGATTATTATTATTAAAATTAGTAGTTGTAGTAGTTAGTGTTATTAATGCGTGTAGGAGCGGTCTTCTTCTGTTTTGGGAGATGAGCGTTTTAATTTATTAAAAAGAGAAGATCTGGAAATAAAAGACAAACATGCATATATATATATATATATATATATATTTACATTCAGCAACAAATGTATAAAGTTTCCTGCACAAATTAGACACAATGACATTACAAATTACATCCTCCGTCTTCCCAAACCCCTCACCCTGACTTGTTCTCTTCCTTAGCCGCCTAACAGTGCATTCAGAAAGTATTCAGACCCCTTCACTTCATTTTTGGGTTGTCCATCCGTCCCATTCTTGTGGATGTGATATCCCACTAACGCCTTGGCGGAACGTCTTCAAATTTGACACAAATGTCCATTTAGAATCAAGCATGAACTGTCTATAAGGATTAAATGTAGTGATGACATTTTATTTCCAAAAGGTCAAAGGTCAATTTAACTGCGACATCATAATGTTCTGCAAAATCACTTCTGGTCATTAGTCAGTGCTATAACTCAGGAAGGAGAGACTGTGACCATATTTCCTGAAACTTGTCTGATTGGTGGAGGGATATCTCCGTTACACCTTGACGGAACCTCTTTGCAGAAACATTCACTTGGACTCGAATAAGGAACTAATCAGATTTTGGAGGTCAAAGGTCACTGGTCAAAGCTGAAGCTCGCAGTGACCTCACAAAATGCAGTTTTTACCTTGTGAACGCAATATCTTTGTAACGCCTTGAGGGAATTTCTTCAAATTTGGTAAAACATTCGCTTGGACTCAAGGACGAACTGATTAGACTTTGGTGCTTAAAGGTCAAAGGTCAAGGTCACATAATGGTCACAAACAGGGATGTAACCTAAAAACTAGTCTGAATAGACGAGGGATACAACCACGAAGAGGTGATTCTAGATTGCTGATTGTATTTAGGCTTCAAACATCATAAAGTGGTGTTCATTAGTGAAGATTATCCTGCTGAACAAAACATGTCAGTATCATTAACTGTTGTTTGTCAGAGAGTTTATTTTCTGTAATAACCCAAAAGACAATGGAAATATCCCATTTGCTGTTTGTCGAGGGAACCCGGGTGATGCTAACATCCAACATGCTCTCTGTTCAGCTGATTGGACATGATGTGCAAAGGCAAACCTGTCTATACACTTCATATCAGAGCAAAAACCAAGCTCTACCTGCAGAGCTCAGAGACAGGACTGTGTCAAGGCTCAGATCTGGGGAAAGCTACAAAAAAAAAAAAAATGCTGCATTGAAGGTTCCCAAGAGCACAGTGGCCACAGCTGGCCACCCGGCTAAACTGAGCAGTCAGGGGAGGGGGGCCTTGGTAAGAGAAGTGACCAAGAACCTGATGGACACTCTGGAAGAGCTCCAGAATCCACTTCACTAACAAAAAAAAATAGAATCACTACCTCGTGGTTGTATCCCTCCGCCACTCAGACTAGTTTCGGGTTACATCCCTGTTTATCTAGAGTCATATCAAATATGAACCATTTGTGTGAAATTTTGTAATAATTGCTGTGTGGAGTCTTGAGTAGCGGCTAGAAATTATTTTCTGAGGTCACTGTGACCTTTGACCATTAAAGTCTTATCAGTTTGTGAAGTGAAGTTAACATTTATGCAAAATGTGAAGGGATTCCCTTGAGGAGTTTTCCAGATATTGTGTTCACAAGGCTGAAACTGTATTTTGTGAGGTCACCACGCCCTTGACCTTTGAACTTTGACCTTTAGCCACCAAATTTTAATCTATCCAATCAAAAAAACACGGCTCTGGCTCTAACTGTCGTCGGCACGGAGAAATAAAAAAAAACATCTCTCATGTGAAAAATCAGAACTGTTCGATGTGTTGACCTCATCCCTCAGAGCAGGAGGCTGATTGAGAAAAAAGATTTTTAGGACTTAATCTCAGAGTGGACACCTTTTAAAGCGTTTAGTAAATGGACCACCCCATCATGTTCTCCGAAGTTTGGATCAATACCATTTTGGCTTTAACCACAACCTGTGAGATACGTGCTGATGTCTCTGAATGCATCCTAATGGAGCCACCTGAGCCTCAAACAAGGAATAAATATAATGATATTATCACTTGACCTTTTCAGCCTTAATCAAGACGACCTGCTGGTTCGTCAGCTGAATCATAATCTGATAGTCAGCACTGCCCCGCTCCATCCAGCTGCACAGCCTCAACATCACATCACAGAGGAATCATTACATTACAAGTGATTCCTGGAGAAGCATGTGGACGTAACAGCAGCTGACTGTTGCCCTTTGGTCACCATCACACACCGTGTTCTCCGGCTGGATGATGAATGAATATCTCATCATGAAGCGTGTTGCAGCTCCGACGAGAGGCTTAACCGCCGCGTGGCGCTCACAGAGGATATTGATTCAGTGTTTTGTTACAGACCGAGAGAAGCAGAAAGAAGCAGGGGGAAGGAAATGGGACAGATGAACGGAGGATATCCTCGGTCACATTCAAGAGAAAAGGAAAACATTTAGCAGTGAAACATGCAGAGGATTAAACTGTGTGCCAGACACATGGGCCAAACACAATGCTGGTTTACACGCTGATGAACTGAGCTGTGAAATATTATTATAGTGTTAAAATGAGGTTTCAGTGTTTTTATGTGGATCAGCGCTTTAGATTAAAGCTCCTCCCTTTGAAACTATCTTGTGATTACTGAGAGAAGCAGGGGAGGGGGAGGGGGTGTACAGAAGTGGGACACTTGGGACGATTGATTTTGAGATGAGGATAGAGAGTGGAGGAACCCGTTTTAATCATCATTAAAATGATTTATGTTGTTTTGTTAATGTAGATTCTGTTTATGAAATACATTGAATAAATGAATTGGAGCCGTAAATTCAGCTTTACATTGTAGAGGCCGATTTATACGGAAGATCCTTTATACCAGAAAAATAAAAAAACAAGCCCATGAAAAGTTGAGGTTAAAAGGAATCATAAAACTTAAAATCCTCGTGGTAATTCAAATTATGAGATAATAACAGTTATGATGTATTCAGTCAAAAGTTTAAGATGAGACTGTTTTTTTACTTTTTATGTCTAAGTTGTATTATGAGACACTAAAGCCGCATTTCCACCGCAGGAACTTTCCTCAGGAACAAAGACCTTTTTGAGGAACTATGCGCGTTTCGACCAGCAGGAACCAGGGTCTAAATTTATTTAGGGTAATTGATCGACCCTCAAAAAAAGTCGGGGGGGTAGTACTTTCCAAAGGTTTAGGGACTTTGGGGGGTGTGGTCTGCAGTGCTGAACATTTCTGATTGGTCGAGTCCTCGCTGCATCTTATTTCATCCGCCATGTTTAAATGCCCGCAGCGAGCAAGCTGTGGTGGAAACACAGACAACAATGGGCCACAGGAACCTTTTAGTTCCTGAAGAAAAGTGCCTGTACTTTTAGGTGGAAATGTGTCTTAAGTCATACTTAGGTGTTTATAAGCCAGAATTGTGTGGTAGTTCATAATTCTGACTTTTTATTTTATAAATCTGACTTCATATCTTATAATTTTGACTTAATATCTCAAAATGATTAATTTTATGATTTATTATGTCATAAAATTGACTTATCTCATAATTGACTGACTTAATTAATGTCTTAAACTTTTGACTTAGTATCTCATACTTCTTTGTAAATTTAATCTTTTAACTTTTATAAGTGTAACATTTTGACTTATGGCATTGTTTTAACTTGTTAACTTGTTGAAATAGGTCATAAAAATTGGTTTAATAGTTAATAATTTTGCCCCAGAAAGTCATAAATTTGACTTAATATTTCATAATTTTGACTTTCCATGAGTACTTTTTATTTTTGTCATTCCTGAATTATTTAAAAATGAAAAAAATGATTAAAAAAAAGGCAGAAATGGACTTGCATTGTTTCAAATATGAAATACTAAACAAATTAATGCTATAAAAATTGTATGCAGTCTGTTTTACAATGACAACATATTCTTTTTGCTTTCTGTCTGTCTGTTTTAGAAAATCTCGTGTTGTTCCCTGAATCTCAGTGCACAAAACCACTTGTTCTGTATATTATATTTCTATTTAATATTTTGCATTTATGGTGAACTTAATATTAGTTCTATTTTAATGTTGGCTTTTAGCATCCGTATACATTACCTGTTGAAATACTGTATACACAATGTTATTGATTACTCAAAACATGCAGAAACAATATGAGGTGGTAACTCAGGAAACAGTGTCAGTGTAAACTAATTCAATCACAGACTGACTGACGATTCTTTGTCTTAACTCCTCTGGTCGTTGTGGACAGGTGCGCTCGGCCGTGAGGAAGCGGTTCCACCGATGGCAGGAGCAGCACTCGATCCGAGCCAGGATGACCCAGGCCATGTCCATCCCTACGTCACCTTCACGGGTCAGCTTCCACAGCATCAAGCAGTCCACGTCGCTATGAGAGCGGAAACCAGCTTTTCGTCCTCCACGCGTGCTTTTGGGAGAGAAACCTCCAGCTGTCATCGTCGTCATCATTTCCTGCCACACCACTGGAGTGCACGAAAACACTTTCTGAGCCAGAGAGAGGGGACACTGCATCAGTCTCTGAAACCTCAGGAGGGACGTTGTGCTTTAGACTTTCAGGAGAAAACGAATGGGGACGGGGGGTAAGGACACTGCAGACTTTATGAAACTGAAAAATGAGGTTAGTGGATCAAAAGATGCACGTGACCAAGCTGAGTTTGGAGTTTGGATGTGAATGTACAGCACTCCATGTTCTTTCATGTCTGCCTGCCATATAAATCTATTGTATTCCTGCTTGCACACTTTGATTTCTGCTATCAGTGAGGACTTGGATCTCGTGCCACTGGACTGCACTGAACTGGATTCCACCTCAGCGGACACTGGACTCAAACGCTAGAGGGGCTGTGACTAAGTTATTAAAATGGGAAATTTCAGACTTTATTTTCATTTTTTATTTTTATTTTGCTGTCATAAACAATTGTCTGATCAAAGTGTTTGTGTTAATTTAGTGTTGTGTTACTTTCCTTTGTTTGTCAGCCGCTCTGCTTTTCATCTACTTTCCAGAAGGGTTCAACACATTCCATAATTTCTACCTGAAGAGTTTTGTTCTAAAATAATAACATGAATCCATCAAGCCAAGCACATAATGTTATAATTAGTGGTTTGTTTTCTTTCTGAGGATTCGCTCGTATTTCAGTGTCTCAGAGAGAAAGCAAAAAAAAACGACATTTTCCCAACAAATCGTTATTTTCTGTGGATGCACTAACTCATGTTTCTCACAGGTTGCCTAATTTTGGGAATTATTTAATCAAAAGTATCAAAAAAAATACTCCACACTGTCTAATTTACAATAGTAAATTTATTTGCAACGTTTTGGTGCCAGACCTTCATCAAACTAATGGTTCGTGACGATGAGAAACCATGTTAATTATTAATTTTATAGTAATTTATCCCTTTAATGTAAGAATTCAAAGGTACATTTATTGTTTATTATTGTTACTATGCAGTGTTTATAATTTTGTAGCACTATTTATGATATTAGAAACTGCTATATAGTTTTGGTTTTTTTTTAAGTTATTTTTTTATGCTTTTTTGCCTTTATTAAAGTTACAGTGAGAGAGACAGGAAAATTGGGGAGAGAGAGAGAGAGAGAGAGAGAGAGGTGCAAAAAAGTGATAATTCAAACGTAATTTGAGATAATGTGATTGGTTTGCGGGCTTACAGCCACTGCTATTTAAGATGCTTCTCATTATCACAAACCACATTTTCCTGATAAAGATCTGGCACTGAAACATTGGAGATAAATTTATGATTGCATGTTATTCCACAGTTTGTAGGATTTTGTTTGCTACTTTGGATCCATCCATCTCCTACTCACCTGTCGCATGAAATAGAGGAAATATTTTATCCAAACTGGATGAAGAATAATCTTCAACCTGCGTTAACTGATGTGTTTTTTGACCACTTGGGTTGATTCAATAAGCTGTAAACACACTGACCCATTATCATCTTATGAAGTTGTTAACAAACAGCTGCTTATTAGCATGTCCAACAAACACAGAGCAACATTATCATTCATTTGAAGTCTGCTCTGTGTCACCTGATGAATGTAAGTCCAGGGTTCCCTCTCTTTTAGCTCTGTGTTTGGTCTCCACCAGCTCCTGAGGGAAATATCTGTCTCTTTAGCTGCTAAACGCTCCACCATGTTCACCAGCTGCTCCGTGTAACTGTGTCTATATGTTTATTATTTGGCACAAAACTCTTCAGCTATATAAAGAGACTTATTACCGTTGCCTCTCTACCAGCAAGCCGGATACAGATCATCATGAGCCGAGGAGGAGGGACAGGAAGTGAGTTCGTTCTTGTATCTAAAAAGTGACTCTCTGTGGTGATTGGTTGACATTAAAGCAGTAACTTTGTGTACTGACTTATTGTAAATAGAAATTCAAAGAGCGGGGTGTTCAAATCCTGTTGAGTCGTCACAGATAAAAACCACAAAAAAAAAAAAAAAAAAAAAAAAAAAAAGGACAAGACAAACCACACACTGTAAATCATATGGGCACATTATCCATGTGATCAGCAACTCACAGTCCACATTCCTACGATACCAGTTTGCCTAGCACCTGTGCATTTTTATGAACTGCTGTTTATGTCAAATTGTAAATGAGCCTCATCTTTTTGTCGCCCTGAACTCTTTGTTTCTTTGGGGATTTTTTTTATTTTATTTTTATCCCTTTTTCAAGTGATGTTTTCGCTCTGGTTGTGATAGAACGTCAGAACAGAACTTCACATGCCGCTGTGACCTGTATTAATCTAATGGTACTCATATATTGTGATTGGAGACGCTTAAATTTAAGAAAACTCTACTTATCAGGCACTTTTTTTTTCTTTCTTCTTTTTTTTTTTTTTTTGCAATGTGAAGAGTTTCCCAAAAAGAAAAGTTTATGTCATGTCTTTTTTATTTTATATTTTTTAATGCAGCAACCAAAAGTTAAAATGTTAGCAGGAATATTGTTGACACAGTAAAAAAAAAATAATAATAATAATTTGGTCAAACAAGGCGACAAAGAATTACTGACACTGACTTCTCCATGGTTGTGTGGTACATGTGGTGGTCAATCAAAGATACACAATGTAATTCACAATATTATTTATTGTTATTTATTTCCGATATTGTTATTTTCATACTTGAAATGAAAAGATGTCAAGAGATAATAAAGTGTGTGTTGCATTTGACTGAATGAAAAATTTAACACGTGGCTGAGATGTCAGGTCAAGTTTATTTATAGAGTGTGTTTTCTACACAAAACAACAACAATTCGCTTTCCATATAAAAATGACAATAAAAAATACATATATACACATTGAGCTGCTGGTGCGGGGAACAGGCTCCGCTCAGGATCACACTGCCATTTGTCTCCACAGTCCCCTGAGATAAAAGCAAACAAGAAATACATTTTGAGCATCTTGTGATCCTTTTAAGCTTTTGTGTGTGTGTGTGTCTCAGAGGGAAGCGCTGCTGAACATCAGCTTTTAAATAAGATCCTTCTGCCCAACTGAACATTCACTATTTTCTCTCATGACCGCAGAACAAGAGAGTTTTCCCTGCTTTTAATCTGTGACGCCAAAGCTTCAAAAACAGAAAGAAACAGAGGAAATAAAAGTTTCCTGTGACAGTTTTCATGGTGGTTTTTTAAATTGAATGTGAACTTCCATGTGAACACTTACAGAGTTCATTAAGGTTAGCCCACATCATGGTCATGGCCCACAGAGCAGCTCCGGGCCAACGCTTACTGTCATCTTACAGATTCATTTTTACAATCAGGGGCTTGGGAGAGTTGCTCATCTCCACAGTTACTGATTAGACTTTACTCAAGATGATTTAATTATCATCTTCTTTCATTTTAACTGCTCTGGTGATTGCATAATGTCTGTTTGTTGGTGTATTTTCTGTAGTGGATTTTGTGGCCCTTTCATAAATGACAGTCTGTCTTCACAATAACACAATTCAACTTTGGTGCTGGAGGAGAATCAATAAATCTGCACGGCCAGCATTTCCCTGATTTAACCTCTGCTGGGTCAGTCACTACGAACACATCCAGTGCAGCTAAACATTGTTAAAAACCCATGTGACTTCAGCTTCAACTCCAGTGTCCAAAGATAAAAATGATACACAAAAACATCCGGAATATTTTTATTCCTCTGCATCAGGGTCAGTCAGAGCTGGAGCCATATTGTTTTCAGGTTGTCCGTCCATCTGTCCAATTCTCAAGGTCACAGTGACCTCACAAAACGCAGGTTTTGACCTTGTGAACACGATATCTCCTTAAGGGAACACCTCAAGGGAATTTAAATTTAGTAAAAAAAACAAAAAACAAAACATTCACCTGGACTCAAGGACAAACTGATAAGAATTTGGTGGCTTAAAGTCAGAGTTCAAAGGTCAAGGTCATGGTGACCTCACAAAACATGATTTTGGCCTCGTGAATGTGACATGTCAAAACCTCCTCAAGGGAATCCCTTCAAATTTGGCACAAATGTTCACTTGGACTCAAGGATGAACTGATTAGGGGTGTCGAGTGGTGCAGTTGTCTAAGCAGGCGCCCCATATGTAGAGGCTACAGTCCTCGCTGCAGTTGGCCCCGGTTCGAATCCCGCATCGGATGGCCCTTTACTGCATGTCATTCCCCCTCTCTCTACCTCCCCATTTCCTGTCTCTCTATACTATCCTGTCCAATAAAGGCACAAAAGCCCAAAGAAATATACTTTAAAAAAAAAGGATGAACTGATTAGACTTTGGTGGTCAAAGGTCAAAGGTCATTACTCAAGACTTCAGACAGCAATTGTGACATAATTTCACACAAATGGTTAATATTTCATATAATCATATAAACAGGGATGTAATCTGAAACTAGTCTGAGTGGTGGAGGGATACAACCACGAAGAGGTGATTCTAGTTTATTTGATCTAACACTGCAGCCACAAGAAAGAAAGAAAGAAAGAAAGAAAGAAAGAAAGAAAGAAAGAAAGAAAGAAAGAAAGAAAGATGGAGTCTTGGCTTTGAATATTTCGTTCATCAAATATTTCCAGTGACAAGCTGCAGGAAGCTGATACAGAATACAAATCATGTCAGACAGACTGGAATGAGATGAGTTTAATAACTGTGAATCTGAAGGGGAATCAAAGGGCTGCATCAATATGTTAGAAGGTTAAATGATGATCCTGATGATCCTGAGCTGTCTGTCCCACGATGGCGCCGCCATGCCAACTGATTCTTAATGGAGTGTTTGACACATAACACGCGTTTGACTCATAACACGGTTCATGGTGTTTTGGGTTTCCACATGTTAACGATATAACCAGAATAACCAGTTAAGCTCATATGTCCTCCACTATGCTAAACCCAGTGAGTAATTACTTAATGTTCCATTTAAACAT